CACACACACACACACACACACACACACACACACACACACACACACACACACACAATGGTATTTGTGAATTTGTGAACCAGTGAAGAAGAACACAAATGTGTTTTCTTTTTTGCAAAACCTTCCTGATTTTTTCAATGTTTTTACTCAAACATTCTTATTTCGTGTTCTAAATATGCATCAAAGAGTGACTACATAACCAGGATCAGCTAATAAAAACAACTTTAATGGTAAATTTACCATTAAAGCTTGAATATACACTTCCTGGCCCCCCAAAATTCGCCACCTGGATTTAACTAAGCAAATAGGTACGAGCCTCCTATTGGATAATGACTTCATGGGTGATTATCTTTCAACTGGCAACAAGTTATTTAATTCCAACAGGTGCGATGAGTTGCTTCTCATTTCTTAAACAACAATGTCAAAAGACACATCTCGTGGTCGTGGAAAAGATGTCAGTCTGTTTGAGAAGAGTCAAATCATTGGCATCAAGCAGAGAAAACATCTAAGGAGATTGAAGAAACTATTAAAACTGGGTTAAGAACTGTCCAACGCATTATTAAAAACTGGAAGGATAGAGGGGACCCATCGTCTTCGAGGAAAAAATGTGGCCGGAAAAAAATCCTGAATGATCGTGATCAGCGATCACTTGAATGTTTGGTGAAATGAAATTGAAGAAAAACAACAACAGTAGCACTCAGGGCCATGTTTAATAGTGAATGTAAGAGCATTTCCACACACAATGTGAAGTCAAGGGACTGGGACTGAACAGCTGTGTAGCCTTAAGAAAACCACTAATCAGTGAGGCTAACTGGAAAAAAAGGCTTCAATTTGCTAGGGAACATAAAGATTGGACTCTGGAGCAATGGAAGAAGGTCATGTGGTCTGATGAGTCCAGATTTACCCTGTTCCAGAGTGATGGGTGCATCAGGGTAAGAAGAGAGGCAGGTGAAGTGATGCACCCATCATGCCTAGTGTCTAGTCATCAAGGCAAGATCTTGATGGAAAATTAATGCAACGCTGGATGGAAATGGATCTTGTGACATTGAAGAAGCTTATTGAAACGCCACAGTGAGTGCATGATGTAATCAAAGCTAAAGGCGATCCAACAAAATAGAAGTGTGTGACTTTTTTTTTGGTGGCAACTTTTTTTGTGTGTATTATTCAAAGGCACCAAGATGAAAATTTAAAAACCCTGAAAGAGGAAAGAAAATGCAGAGAACAGATCAGATAATATGTTAAATGTTGTCTTTTTAAGTTTACTCTGTAAAGATTTTATGCTGTTTATGATTTAAACTATTCAACAGAAGAAACAACTTATTGCCTAACACTTAACAAAAAAAGAAACTTTATTTAACAAAATATATGCTAAAATAATAATAATAAAAACTGAGCAGGAAAGTGACTTAAATCTGCTCAATTTCAAGTCCAACAAACACACCGATTAAAATGTGATAAAAAAAAAAAATGCTTCCAACCCACAGGTAGTGTGTGTGTGTGTGTTTTGTAATACACTTTGTTGTTGAACCTATACGGGACAAGATGGAGAAGTGAATCAGAAAGGGAGGGTGATGGTGGGATATAAGAGCTGAAGCAGGGGAGGAAATAACGTGCGTCGGAGAAAAAAGATTTGCAGGAGGAGCTCAGACACCAAGTCAGGGACGGAGACAGAGAGGAGACGAAGCTGAGACACCTGAAGGGACAAACACAAATCAAGTCATGCTGTGGGTTGTTGGACTGATCTTTGCTCTCGTGGGGGCACAAACGGTGACAGGACAGAGAGGTAAGATCAGTAACTGTCTTTGTTTCATCACTGCTGACATCACAAGAAGAAAAGATTTTACCTTCAGCTGTGGCGTTAGGGAAATGAATAGACAAATAGATGAATATACCTGTTAATTTCTTTAGTAATCTGTTTTTCTGACTGTAAATTTAATGATAAAAGTTAAAGTATAAGCCATACAATGGAGGCAAGACGATAAGAACCAAAAACACAAAGTAGTGCTTCTAATTCCGCAATAATTTACTGTCTATCCTTTTTTTCTAATCTATTCGTCCTGATTTAAACATCAAATGAGTCAAAGGAAAGAATTCTGAATAATCTGTGACTCAATCAGAGAAAATAATCCCTGTTCTCCCTCTGTCGTCCAGGTTTTGACCGTTCTGTTAGCACCAACAGTGATTTATTTCCACTACCTTTTCTTGGAATTTATTCAGTCAACAGAGCTGCTGCTGATGAGAAGAACACATTTCCTGAGCTTCAGGCTCCAGAGATCCCTGCTCCCTTCAGCTCATCTGCTGCTAAAATGTCGGCAAGTCAGCTGGAGGCAGGAAAGCTGGAGTTAGAGATCCAAGAGCTGAAAGTAAAGTTCTGTAGGTTGCAATGTTAGCGGAGCTCTTCTAGAAGAAAACCCCAATTCTTGGATCGTTGTGTAAAATGTGAATAAAAACGGAATATTTTATTCAAAATGGAGCATTTTAAACATATCAAATGGTTGTTCTGAATTCTAGAGCAGCAACACATCCTAAGAAAACGAGCGACAGGGTCAAGTTTACCTCTGTGAAACACCTTTTCATCTTTTAACAATGCTCTGTAAACGTCTAAGGAGAGCAGCTGCTGGAGGTTTTGTAGACTCAGGTCTGATGGAGGAGTCAAGCTGCTCATCAGTCCTGGGTCTTCTGTACTTTTTTTGCTGGATTGGAGCCATTGTTGCTCTTAAACCTTTGTTAAACTTTTCTGCATTAATGGTGCCTTTTCAGATGTGTAAGGTCCATCCCAAATGCACAAATGCACCCCTATAACATCAGAGAGGCAGGCTTTTGTACGGATGGTCCTTTCCCTCTTTTGTATGGAGGACATGATGTTCATGATTTCCAAAAAGAATTTCAGTTTTGATATATCTGACCACAGAACAGTTTTCCGCTTTGTCTCGGTCCATTTAAAAGAGCGTTGGTCCACAGAAGACAGCAACGTTTTTAGATGGTGTTCACGTATGCTGTTTTCTTTGCACGATAGAGCTTTGACCAGTGGAGAACGGCACAGTTAACTGTGTTTACAGACAATGATTTGTGGACAAGTTTCTGGGCCCATGCAGTGATGTTCAGGGATCAAGGGATTTGTCACTTTTGATGATATTATGAACATTACGATAATGAGATTTTCAAAGTCTTCACAATTTTTCTTTGAGGAACATTGTTCTGATGTTGTTCAACTATTTTCAGATACAGCTTCTAACAAACTTGTCATTCTAGCTGCAACACCTCCAGAGCAGTCAGGGTAATTTCTGTAAAGAACATCAAGATAATAGTTGTTGTTTTTTTGCTGTAAGATGTGAGAAATCTTAAACGGCTGGTGGTGATTAAATGAAACTTTGTGGAGTAGTTTTAAGACAACAATCTATTTCTGTTCTGCTCAGACAAGCTTTTAGTTAATCAATCCAATCAGATTTAAGCTCTAGTTCTCCACAACAAGTATATCTACAACAGGTAAGACATTTATTGTTTAAAACTTTCCCACAAATCTTCACTTCAGTGTATCTGAACTAACCCTTAAAGGTTTCATTGCTCATTTATAAAGACTTGTGCACTTCATCCCTCTGCATATTCACACAACCTTTTGAACTTTCTTGTTCCAGCTTGATGTCTGAAATCCTCCAGTGGGGCCCCGTCTTACAGACCCTGAATCTCATCTTTAAGGCTTACCAGGCCTTTTCCTGTTAGAGCACCCACTCTGAAACTCCCTGCTATATGACACAGATGGACCAACTCAATGTCTCAAACTCCTTCTCTAAACTATGGCCTTTTAATTGCTGAGCACAAAAGACAATAAATATTGGAGTTTAAATTTGCCATGTGGTAATAATCTTGACTTGAATAATAAATAAAACCATTAAAAACTCATGAATGTGAGAAACTGCAGTTCACCCAAGTGGGTCCTGGCAAGAGTTTTTAATTCATTTTAAACCAAACATTTCCACTCTTATAACAATAACACGAGTAAATATTTAATTCCAGTTTAACCACGATCTACTCAGCATGTCCAGATTCAGTTGTTACTCTTGGCAGATGGTTGAAAACACACAGATTGTGTTCAATCCCGGCTGACTTTTAGATAAATTCGGATACCCAGTGAGTTGTAGGCGTGCAAGGCTGCAAAAAAGGAGCTTACAGAAAATCTTCTATTGCTCCATATTTGTGAAAAT